CACTGCCCACCCCTTGGGCCTCATCCACAGACTCCTGGAGAAATAGCGGACATGGTGGTCAGAGGAGAGGGAAGGAAGCATACAGAGATGGGTTCCAGAATAAGCCCCACCATTTTCTAGTTGTGTTATCCTGAGCTATTGCTTAACCCACTTGTCTCAGTTCCTCCTCTGAGAAATGGTTAAGAAAAAAAACAAACTCATTTACCTTACAGGGTCACCGGGAGGCTTAAAAGAGATGAAGTACGTAAAGCCCTTAGCAGCTCCCTGGTGTGACATGTGACACAAGTGTGCAGGAAGTGTTGCTTACATTATTGAACGGTTTCTCTCACATAACTTGCCCACTCCCAGCGCAGCCCCCACCCTGCCACTCCTGGTCACTGTCTGGGTTCACCGATGCCGCCTGGAGCTCAGGACTGATACGCCTTTCCTCCAGCCCCTCACTAGCTCTCTTATCTTTCCCAGAGTAGATGCTCTGGCACATCTGAAAATTTGTTGAGGATTTGCACAGCTCAAAACAGAGGCTTGACACGTTTAGAAAGTACCCAGATTAATCTTGGGGGTGAGAAACGGAATGTTTCCTGCCATATCAATAAACAAAGGATGTCACAGTCATCAGCAATTGCAGCCCTGCAACCCCCGAACATGAGCCAGTGAGGCCTGAGGAAACTCAGGAAGAAAAGAATACCTGCCAACTAGCAGTCATCAGACTGCAGCCACTCCTGACGGTGAGCCCTGAGCGAACAGCATGCGAGCCCAGACTCCTGCACTTGCCCATACGTAGAAAAGCACTAAAGTCCTTAACTTGGAGATATCTGGGTTTTTTTTTAATTAACAATCATCTTTTGATGTACCAACTATCTGCCCTTTGTAGCAAAACTTCTATATAACCTAGCTCCCCTCATCACCTCCTCAGAGTAGTTCTCTCAGGGTTACTTGAGATGCTGCTTCCTGGGCCTGAAGTCCTAAAAGTTCCCACAAAACAAAACATAACTCTCTTTTAGGTTGTGAACATTTTTTGTGTCTACAGAGATGAGATGCAAAACAACATCCCATAGGAAAACAAGTCATCTAGTCCTCTCCATCCCAAGTTATACTTCTAGGTGTCCTTCTAACCATTGGGCTTTATAGAAGCCTCTATAACACTGTATTACATAATTGTGAACAATGCAGAAATTAAATTTTCTCATCTGGTAGAAAATTTCTGGCTGCCATTTGGAAAAAGGGAAGAGACTAACTTAAATATCTATTATCTCTCCATCCTTCATATCTCCTATTTCTCTTGTCTTTTTATCTGTGCTCTCGCTCTCTCTTCTCTTTTTACATTTCCAAGGGCCCATCTTATAGTTCAAGATATTGTGGAAGAAAAGATGTCATTTACTCCACTTGACAGACATCTGGTGAGTTTTCTGTTTATGCAAAGATGCATTGTATTTGCACCTCATTAAGAGGTACTTCCCATACCCTGGGGAGAAAACTGTATTTTCTGCATCATTTCTAAATCATTGTTCACTTTTTTCTTCATCATTATACTGATTTTCTAATTTTGATACTAGATTTTTTTCAATGTTGACAAAAAAGAAAAAGTGCAAAATGAAACATACAGAATAGTTAGATCAACAACCACCCAATTTTTCCTGGAAATGGACTAGAGGGACCTGGGCTCTATTCTGAAGCTAGTATGAATATGCAGGGTGTGATACTGAAAAGCAGACACCCAGCAGGTCTTACACCTTTATTAGAGGAGGTACCTATGAGGGGAAATGGGCGAGCACTGTCAGGCCTCAAGTGAAGCAGGGAGCAAGGGGAGGATGGCAGATGATTCCCACCCTGTTGTGTAGACTAAGGGGAGTTTGGTATGTCTACTTGGGAGCTCTCTAGCTAAAGGCAGCCATCAGTGGAAGCCCTGTCTCGCAGGAGTAGGCCTGCCTCAGTTTACATGCTGGCCGGGTCAGGGGAGGGGCAAGCCACAGAAGTGCAGCTTTGGGGAAAGCAGAGCATTGGTTTCAGAGCCCAGCAGCAGGGCTTGGTCAACCACACACCCTGCACTTGGAAGCGTGCCAGGTGCTCACAGCTGTCCAGTGGGTGGCTCATTTTATCCTTGGTTTAATTCTAGATTTGAGTTGCAGGCCAATGCTAAGTGTAGACTCTGCTCTTCCGTTCAAATCTTGAGATGTCCACTACCTCCCCAAATAATACAGCTTCCACATGGTCACTCCAACTTGTCTTGTATTAAGAGTCTATGATGGGGGAAGAGCCCTTTTTGTAAAGGCTTGCTTCTGTTGATTTGGGGGCTTTACAGAAGGGCAGGGTGCTGTCAATGGAGAGAACTCAGAAATACACTCGACCACCAAGTGCCAGAGGCAGGCACCACTGGCTGCGTGAATCCTTCCATTACCTCCCCTAGGAGTTAATGTTCCCCTGGAAACACATCAGTAAGAGGAGGTAAATGGCTGGAACCCACCTTCCTGCCCCAGGACCCTGTGGCCAGGAGCTGGTGTTGAAGACAGGATAAAGGAACCCAAGTACTTCTTCCTGCTGCTCAACAACACTTCCTTTCACACGCTCGAGGCCACAGTTGACCTGAGCTTGCCTGCAGGAAATTTCTGACCCTTTCATATAGCTGCTTAACATCTTTTGTTTGTTTGTTTCTCTCTCAGACGTTCCCATATTCCTAAGCTGTCTTCTGTTTGGTTTGTTGTTGATGTCATTATTTTGGTTGTTTTCTCAAAAATGCTTCTGCTTTAGTTTATGTACATTAAGAATCTGAAAACATCAGAAGTAATAAGTGTTTGGGGTCAGTTTTCCTGTGTACCTTGGAAATTCATGAGCTGACTGCCTCAAGGAGCCTGAAAGAAGCAGCAAAAATCTCCTGCCCATCCTGGGAAAAGTCAGACAGAACAAGCCACTCTAGACCTCAGGGAAGTCACTCTGGTTCTACCTTTACAGTCTGCCATCCTTATTTTCAGCTGAAAGCACAAGTCCTTCAGATGGTGATGCAGGGCAGGAAAAATGAGCACCAGTGAACAGTCTAAACTCTTGAGGTAAGGGTCTTCCCTGGTGGTCCAGTGATTAAAACTTTGCCTTCCTGTGAAAAGGGTACAGGTTCAATCTCTGGTTGGGGAGCTAAGATCTCACATGCTTCATGGCCAAAAACTCAAAACATGAAACAGAAATAAACAAAATCAGTAAACACTTTAAAAAAAAATGGTCCACATAAAAATATCTAAAAAAAAAAAAGTAGGAGAGAACCCTAAGGTGGAACCTAGCTCTGTCTTTTAGTCTCTGGTGTTTGCCAAGCTCCTTGTTGAATCTCAGTTTCCTTGTCTACAACAGCATCCCCACATACCTCGAGGGGCTGGTCAGGGAACTCTTGTCAAAATGGGAAGATGGGCCAGAAGAGGGTTGGCAACTGTACTGTGCTGTGCCTACATGCTGACCAGTCATTAGACAAGCACCCGCAGCATTCCCCTACCCAACCCCAGTCTTGAAGTATATTGACAGGTGTTATTTGAAAAAACAACAACAACAACGTTTTCTCTACCTTAACACAAGCTTTGAGGGATGCACGGTTAACCACGTTTAAACCCGTTCCTCACTGAGGCCTTCTCAGACACTTTAACGTCCTGTGAATCTCCATCAGCGTTTTCCACACAGTGTCAAGAGGACCTGAGGCCTCCCACACCACACCCTATGCTGGAATGCTGTGGTAGATAACACAGTGATCCCCGAGAGGAGAAGGAAGGTGTCAGAGGAATGCTGTGGTAGATAACACAGTGATCCCCGAGAGGAGAAGGAAGGTGTCAGAGGAATGCTGTGGTAGATAACACAGTGATCCCCGAGAGGAGAAGGAAGGTGTCAGAGGAATGCTGTGGTAGATAACACAGTGATCCCCGAGAGGAGAAGGAAGGTGTCAGACTTGGTGTCACCTCCGACGCTAATGCCTGGATCATAAGAGACTGGAAGGACAAATGAGTACATTTAACCAATGAAGGGTTAATGTGGAGCTACAACCTGGAAGAATGAATACTCTAGATACCAAAAAAAAAAACACCACCGCAGGAGAAATTCCCAACATACATGACAAATCTGACCAAGATCTTCCAGAGTCACCAGTGCCCTTCCGGAGTCTACACAGGCCCCTGAGTTGCGTTTCTAACAAGAATCCTATGTGATCATGATTCTCAGAGAATAACTGGCCCATAGGAAAGGCCAATTCTATAACGGAAAGCAACGGTGACTCCTTATTTTCTCATATTCAAAGGAGAGGCTTCCAGTTCTCCTAACTCTTCTCTGACTGTCTCTGCTGACCACCTGAGCCGAGACGCTGACTGTCAAGCTCTCTCAAACTGGGGCCCCAGGATGCCCATGAGCCCTCCCAGCAAAGTCACTGTCTTTCCTTCCTACCTTTTCTTTATCACTTGAAGTATAAAGCACATTCCTGCATATACAGCAGATGTCTGATGAATGCTTGGTGAACTTCATTGTCTTGTCCACTTTAGCCAGTGTATCACAGATCACACCGTCCATGGTCAGACTTCTTCCCGAAACATTGGATGAGCACCCGCTCTGTGCCCAGGACCATCCTGGGTGCCACGGACACATCAGCACATGGAGCAGGCACATGACTCGTCCCTGTGAGGCTTAGGTCTCAGTGGTGTTCTTCTCATCCCTTACATTTGCTTAGCTTTGGACAGTCCTCAGAGACTTTTTGCATATTTATCTTAGCTAGTTCCATGGCAACCCAATGATGTAGTTATTGTCATTCTCAGTTGACAGATGAGAAAGCCGAGGTCCAGCAAGATTAAACCATTAACTCAAGGTCAAGCAGCTGTGGGTGCTCTAACTGAAATTCAAGTTCGAATCATCTTGGGTTGTTTAAACCCGTATTACAACTCGCCTCGTCAAAGTCTCCCACTGAGCTCTGCAGAGTAATTACAAGGAAATCCCGATTTCATTTTTTATCCTGTCTCCTGACAGGTCAATGCATGCTTATTCAAGAATTTACCCCTCTTCCAAAACAATGAGCAATTCCAAGGGAAGACAGAACCCCCGAAACAGTTGGTGACATCAACAGCATTCTTCTCAAGGATTACTCAACTGAGTGCTTGTTTAGTGTGTGATCTCAATCATAGAAAAGAAGAACTGCCCCAGACTTGATTATCTTTTTAAAAACTTGCAAAACCTGAGAAGCTAAGACTCTTTGAAACAGGAAGCTGTGTTTTTTCCTACCTTACTAATGTCTCTGGTGGTATCAGATGGTATCTCCGTTTCATGAGTGGCAAGACCTAAGCTATCACTGGACGCATAAAGGATTTTGCTAAATTAGCAGGTACCATCATCTTCTTTTTGCTCTCATCTGGGCGAGAACTTATTGAATGCAACAGAAGTGGATTATTCAGGAGGGGTTTCCAGGAAGACAGTCAGGTTTCTAGGAAAAAGGAGATGGAGCAAGGAGTCTTGGCAGGTGGAAGTTACACCTCCCAGGAGTGCTCCTGGATGGACGGGGCGTAGAGGGAGGCCGGCTGTGCTGCAGTAGGTAGTGTGGAGCCAAAGTGGGAGAGCTGATTGTGAGATGTGTCCGTTTTCTTCTCGCTTTTCCCCACTTTGCCTTTCTCTCACCTGTATCATGATGTGTTTGCCTTTCCACTCATCCGAACTCAGCCTTTTACCCTCTTCAGTCAACATGTCCACAACTGTGCCTATGCTGCCTTCCCTGTGCTTTCATAAATTCTCAACTATTGAGAGGATGGCCACTCCAAAAGGGTCCTCTTGAGTAGTTCTGCGTTAGTAATATTGACTAGTAAGAAGCAGTGAAAGTATAACTGACATATGTGTGTACATGCACGTATGTTACATTTGTATATATATATAAATTTTTATATTTCAATTTTTCACTGAAAATCCACTCTAAGTCAGGCTGTCAGATGAATCAGCTGATCGGTTGATTTGGTGTCTTTCTGTTTTGGATCTACAAAGTTGACTGCTTTTCTTGGATCTATATTAGAGGGTAGGGATAGAAAGTCTTTCTAACCTTCTGGGAAACCTTCAACCGGTTGGAGATGAAAGTTAACTGTGTTGACAAGTGTTTTGAGGGGAGGGAGTGGGAATATGGGGTCATTGGTACATGGAAGCGATAGGAATTGGAGCATATCTGCAACTCATTTCAGAAAATGGTGATGATTACCATGAACTATGCAGGCTGAGTTATTTCTCTAGGGGAGGAACTGCATGACTCAATAAGAAAAAAGCAGATACATTCAGCACAATAAAAAGGGTAAAAGGCATAAATAGATATTCACAGAAAAGGAAATACTAATGACTAATAATTACAGCTTAAAAAAAAACCCCTCAGTAATTAAGTATTAGTTACATAAATAATGACACCCTTGTTGCCTGTAAAATTGGCCAAGTAATTTTTTTCTTTTAGATCTTGGTATTGATGGGTGCTTGCTGAGACTGGCACCAATATGAAACAGAATACAAATTGTTACACAACTTCTGGAAACAATTTGGCAAAATGCAGCAAGAGTCTTAGAAATAAGACTAGGGGTAGAAACTGTCCTTTGAGAAATCTACTTTAAGGAACTAAGAAAAATACAAAGATGTTTACTGCAGCATTATTTGTAAAGGTGCAAATTGGGAACAACTTAATCACACGACAGTAAGACAATGATTAAAAAACCATAAATATACAGTATGTTGAGTCGTTCCAAATTATATTTTCATATAATTTTTAACCACATGGAACTAGATGCAGGGTGGGGCTTCACTGGTGGCTCAGTGGTAAAGAATCCACCCGCCAATGCAGGGAGACGCAGGTTGGATCCCTGGGCTGGAAAGCTTCCTTGGAGAAAAAAATGGCAACCCACTCCAGTATTCTTGCCAGGGAAGTGCTATGAACAGAGGAGCGTCGAGGGCTACAGTCCATGGGGTCGCAAAGGAGTCAAACACAACTCAGTGACTGAACAACAATAATAAAATTTTACGTACCAGAATACAAAAGGGGGTGCAAATGTGATATCAATTGTAACAAACATGCCTAGAAAAGAGGCAATGGTTCTCTCTCCAAGACACAGGTGGAGGTGGCAATACCAGGGGCCAGGAAACTGACCTTCAGTACACTGAACACTCCTGCCACGTGTACTCTGACTGCACAGGCATCATCTCCCCATAAAACACTTTTCAAGATCATCTCTTTCAATTTAATCACATATCAGCCTGCATACAAACACTAAAAATCAGCCACACTGGAAACACCTGGTATTAGAACAAAGTGAGTAAATCTACACTTTGAACAAAGAAGTTGGTAAAACTATTTCAAGTTACTTTGCAGGTGGATGAAACCAAGTCACTTAACTGACTACATTCCAAGAATGGAATATAATCTTTGCTCTAATAATATTAATGACTGGAAGCTGAGGAAGTCCATGTGCTGCCCTAAAATATAAAGGCTGGGAGATGCCTGCAGCTGGGAAGAAGACTGCATTTATTCAAGATTTCAGCCTTCAGAGGTTCTTTGTATCTCCAGGGAAGGAGCTCATTGGCTCACAAGGCAGCCCATTCCATTCCCGCACAACTTGGTTCTCACCAAGTTCTTTCCCATGTGTGACTGAATTTAGTTTCCTCTACTACCATCAAATTTCTGCTCTCTGTAGAGTCTGCTTCCTTTTTCTACAGCAGAGGCTATCACATTATAGATTTTCCCATCTCGAAGGAACCCAGGACATTGCCTAATCCAATTCTTTTTTTAAAAAAGATTAGAAAACTTTGCTCCAGATCAAAGATGTACAAATATTTGGATAAAAAGAAAACAAACTAAAATAAACCTGAAGACTTTTATTTTTTACAAAAAACATTCCAAGTTTTGCCAAATACTGTTGATGTTTCTAGACCTTTATCATCCTAGCCTGTTCTGTGTTGCAGGTGGATACCAACGCTCATGAAATGTGGTAACTGAAGAGAACCTAATATTTCAAACGCATAATCTGAAAAGTGAAAAAAGGTAAAGTTATTCTGCTCCATCTTTCTATCCATTTAAGAAGCATTAGTAGGCAGCTATTGCTTGTCAGGCATTGTACTGGGCAATAGTCCTGCATTGTCCAAGATGGTGGCTACTTGCCACATGCGGCCATTCCAAGTTAACTTAATAAAATTTGAATAAAATGAAAATCTCAGTTCTTCAACAGCAGTAGCCACATTTCAAGTGCTCGATAGCCATGTGGCTAGTAGGTGTTTTATTGAACAGCACAAACACAGAACGTTCCATCACTGTAAGAAAGGCCTACAGGATAGTGCTATACCAAATAATTGTTTTCTCTGACTACCCAGGTTTTCTGTGGAAAGAAATGAAAGGGAAGGAGAACTGGCTTAAAATTGTGTAAGTGGGAAGCAATTCAAGGTGCTAGATGGACAGATAATTGGATGAATACATGAAGGGGTAGCTGAGAAGAGAGGTGGATGGAAAATCAGATGGGTAGATTTCCTTTGTTCTGGATGATTTGTTAACATTGATGAAGACTGAACCAGCTCTTGGGATTGGCTTCTAAACTGCTTGTAATTGAGGATACTCTTAGTTCAACCCTTAAACTTCCTCTTTTCTTACAACTTAAAGAGGTTGGAGGGATGTAACTCAGAGATAGTAAAGAGATTCAAAAACTTTAGGAGGGTACAGCCTGTCATTTTTCTCTCTCTATTCCTGTCATATTTGTGAAAGAATTATCAATAATTCTTCATTGGAATGTCAGTAAATAAATGGATTAATGTATTCTTGGGTTCCTATTAGGCTATTTAATTTGGTACAGATCCAAAACCATTTGTATAAATTCAAACTCATTTACTGTAACTACAGATTTTAATGAAAGCTGAAATACCTTTTTAAAACATTTTGGATACCAATCACTGTGTTTTCTGTAACTTTGAGTAATGGGCTACAGACTGGTTATTTGTAGAAAGCCAAGAATTTCTCTTTAGATGGAGGAAATACTTCCTCCTCTAGAGTCATACTATCATGTTTTGGAAAAGATCTAAGAAATTCTGGAAAGGGCTGAAAACTTGAGAAAATAGAGAATGTCAGTGAGTAGAGGGAGAGGGAGAAGAACTAACATGCATTTGCCTGGCACTGCGTCCTGATGTTCTCACGTGGGTTCATGTAATCCTCACATTACTCCCCCACTCCTTACAACACTTTCTTCACACAGCTTCAGGGACACCAGTTCTGCTTTTTTTCTGATCTCGCTGTCCACCCTTTCTCAGTCTCTCTTACTGTGTCCTCCTCATTTCTCTCACCTCTGACTTTTGGCATGCCTGGGGATGCAGTCCTTTGCTGTCTACACCTATGTCTCTGGTGCTCTTTTCCAGAATCAATGCTTTACATCTATGTGATGACAACTGTCACTTTCGTATTTTCAGCCAACAGTTCTCCCTGGAGCCGTATGTCCAACTGCCTGCTGCACATCTCCACTTGGATGGCATATAATCAATCTCAGACTTGCCTGCTCCAATTCAGGCTTATTTTTCCCCAGACTTTATCTCTGCTGGTGTCAACGCCATCCTTCCAGTTGCTCAGACAAAACTCTTGGAGTCGTCGACTATTTCTCACTTACTCGTACACTATCTGTCAACAAATCCTGTGGCGAGCTTCCACATTTGCACAGAATCCATCCATTCTCACCCTTTCTACCTCTACTGCTGTGCCCTGCCCAGTGTCACATCTTCCCTGCATTATCATAAGTGCCTCTTTGAGCTCAGTTCAGTCACTCAGTCATGTCCGACTCTTTGCAAACCCATGGACTGCAGCACACCAGGATTCCCTGTCCTTCACCAATTCCCAGAGCTTGCTCAAACTCGTGTCCACCGAGTCAGTGATGCCATCCAACCATCTCATCCTCTGTCATCCCCATCTCCTCCTGCCTTCAATCTTTCCCAGCATCAGAATCTTTTCTAAGGAGTCAGTTCTTTGCATCACATGGCCAAAGTATTGCAGCTTCAGCCTCTTTACTGGTTCCTTGTTTCTAATTGTGCTTCCATAGTCTATTCTCCGCATGGCAGCCAGAACAATCCTTACAGAATATGAGGAAGATAACTTCAAGTTTAATGGAAACTTACCTATGGTCCCTACTCCATTCAGAAAAAAGCCGAAGTTCCTGACTGCACAGCTCCACGGAACTCCTGCCCACAGCTTCTCATGTCTCTCTGACTCTCTCTCTTGATACCCACCCCTCACTCCTTTTGGCCACACTAAACTCTCCTGCTCCTTCTAAGAACCTGTCCAGCCACTCTCTCACCTCAGGATATTTGTACTTGGTGTTCCTCTTATCCCCCAGAAACCTGTTCAACTCACTCTCTCACCTCCCTCCACTTTTCTCAAATGTCATCTCGAGTTTCTTGCTGACCCTCTCCTGTTTAAGCTTCACCTCTCCAACGCCACCCTACTGCTGCCTTCTCTCATCTCCTCACCTTCCTCTGCAGCACTCATGAGCATCTGAGACACTGCAGCTTCTGGCTACTCCCTGGCTGGAACATAAGCTTCATGAGGTCAAAGAGCTTTGTCTATTCCATTCATTGATGCGCCGTATCACTGGAACAGTGGCTGGCATGTCATCGGTTGCTTATTAACTATTTGCTGAATGAACGACTGGAGAACCCCATGAGGCAGTAACTCTTCTTATCACTAGGTTACACACACATAAAGATTCTGAGGCACAGAGAGCGTAACCTACTTGCTCTATGTCACACAGTCATTTCTTCAAACTCAGGAATTCAATCACTATCCTATACTGAAGAGGACCAAGGATATGTAAGCAAGAAAACCTTATGACTATGGTTCCCTGGCACCAATACCCATGAAACCAAAAGTACCCAGGGCCTTAAGCATGGAATCTGATCTTAACAGCAGGTGGTCCTGCAGGAATGCTGACCACTTGGAGTCTGTGGGCAGAGCTCTTCCAGATGGACACGCAGATCCAGGATGGTACGCAGTGACTTCACAACCTGCTCTCTTCTCTATATTCTTTGCTTTAAAAATTTTTAATTGGAGTACAACAGCTTTACAATGTTGTATTGGTTTGTGCCGTACAACAACGTGAGTCAGCTCTAAGTGTACATTCGTCCCCTCTCTCCTGAGCCTCCCCTACCCCATCCCAGCCCTCCAGGTCGTCACAGGGCACCAAGTTGAGTTCCCCGTGCTATACATATGCTTCCCACTAGCTTTCTGTTTCACATATCTAGTGTATATAAGTCAAAGCTACCCTCTCAATTCGTCCCACCCTCTCCTTCCCCTGCTGTTACATATACTTTAGATGATTCATCAAGTTCACCTGAGAGGCTGATCCCCTCAAAGAGACTAAACACTTAAATACACACACACACACACACACACACACACACACACACACACACACACACCAGATTAGTGATGTTACTAAGCTGGGATATCATTCAGCATGTGGCCCTCTTTCAGACGTGACTGGTTTAACCAAACTCCCACTATAGTCAAGGATCAGCACTCTTCATCATAGGCATGGCAGTTTTCCACTTTAGTAAAGTTTTAGAATAAAACAGATTTCAAATTAATAGTATCTTTTTTGTACTTTGGGGACTTTGAAAGTTTGGAGGGTGGATGTCTAATTACAGTCTGGAACCAGAAACACCATTATTATTTAACATCACTGTGGAAGTTCCCACCAAAGCAAGAAGGTGAGAGAGAAACAAATGAGAAATACCAGAAAGGAGGATATAATTCTGTCAGTGCTTCACAGATAATATCTATAATCTATCTAGTGAAATAATCTACTGAGAAGTGTAAGTGAAGTCGCTCAGTCATGCCCAACTCTCTGCAACCCCATGGACTATATATATAGCCCACCAGGCTCCTCCGTCCATGGGATTCTCCAGGCAGGAATACTGGAGTGGGGTTGCCATGTCCTTCTCCAGGGGATCTTCCTGACCCAGCAATCAAACCCGGGTCTCCCGCATTGCAGGCAGACGCTTTACCCTCTGAGCCACCAGGGAAGCCCAATCTATCTAGTAGTTCTAAAGGTATTTATTTTTAAAAGCCGGTAAGGTAATCAGCTTAAAACATGTAATTTTGTTTCATATTACCAACAATTGTTTAGAAAATTTGTTAGGGAAAAGTATCTCATTCACAATAACCTGAGAAATATAAAGGTAGATGATAAAAATGTAAAAAGAAATATGCAACATCAATAACTTAAAGCCCTATGGTAAGCACAGTAAGGAGACTTAGTGTGTTCCCAAATAGAAAAGCTTGACATGTAACATTATCAATTCTTTCTAAACTTACTTACAAATGTAAGAAAATTTCACTCAAAATTATGTTTTTGTAAGTAACTGATGACGTGATCCAAAAGTTTATCTAATAGGACAAATGGTTCTAAAAGATAAGACATACTGGAAATGAATACTGAAAGGCAGTTGTTTAATTAGATAATATACATAAATAATCTAATAAATCTACAGTAATTAAAGGAGTGTTTCTAGCACAGAAATCAATGATTTCTATGTGCAAAGTACACAAGCAGAATCAGGAACATGAAGGAATATATGGCAAAGGTGATGTTTCCAGCTCAAGGGGGAGAGGGTAATTATTCAACATATGGTATCTTCAGATTGGTCAACCATTTAGAGAGAAATAAAATAGAAGTGCACTTTGCACCATATATCAAACCAAACTAAAATGTATTAGTGATCTGCATGTACAAAAATGGAACCATGGAGATACAAAAATATATATAAACACTCATGTAATCTGGGGGTGTGGAGGCCCTTATAAATGGAACCCTAAGGAAATAACTGTGAGCTTTGGAGACACAGAGCCCCAGCTCTGCTGTGTGCTAATGGAATAGTGACAGAGCCTTGCCAAGCCTCTATTTGCTCATCTATAAAATGGGGACATAGAAATCCACCTTGCAAAGCTGTGAGGACAAGCAAGGCTGTATAAAGTGCTGGGCTAAGAAAGACACGGTTGTTATTGACTCTTATCTTACACTGGTTATATGTAAAGAATGTAAACTTTCTGAACTCACAGAACATTTTCTTCTCAGTATCTTTTCCTTCTCAGGTGGTTGTTGAAAATAAGCAGGAAAAACATTCACATCATACAATCTGAAGATATCCTGCATTATTTGATCCATACTGAGAAATAAACATTTCTCCCATCCAGGGGCACTGCGCTGGCTGGGACTCAGAACTAAGGAGGTGGAGGTCCAGTGCACTGGTCTGATTTGGCGTGTCTTTAGAGTTTAATAAGACTCTTTTGAGAGGATTCTCACAAGGAGGGGCTCTGGCTTGCGTTTGGGGAGGTGTTTGAGAGTCCAGGGAACTGGTTTTCATGTCTTCAAAGACAGGAAGGTCTGAATTACTGTAAATCCCAGGGGGTGGCCTTCTGATATTCACTCCGGATATTTAAGCACAGTGTTCAGTACAGAGGCTGAAAGACTTGCCCAGCAAGAAGAGAGCAGGGACCCTGCGAATATCATCCAGGTTCAGAATTTGCCAAAGGCACTAAGAATCGTGAAGTAGGAAGAGAAAATGTGGGCGCAAATAACTTGGAGGCATCCAGGGAGCTGGTGTCCCATGGCCTACCTGTCCTCACGCAGGTGCCCACTGCGGTCATCTGAATGGCCTTCTCACTCTTCCCGTGGAGGCCGGCTGAGCCCCTGACAATGCAGGTGTCAAGACCGGAAAAGACGCCTCCCCTCCCCAAGTCTGGGTGGTTGTATGCCAGCTCGACCCACGATCAAAGGGGAGAACCTAGCCCCTAAGATCTCTTAATCTGAAAACAAAATGCAAATGCTTTGCCTAGTGTGCCCTCTTCTTCAAGTTCCTTAGATTTCAGTTTGTGGTTTCAAGTTCTGATGAGTAAACCCTTCATCTTGTAATTTGCCTAGGTTTCCACCCTAGAAAAGGTCCGCCAAATCTTCTAGCAGTGCCTGCCTAAAAACATTAGCTTTCAGTGACAGTTTAACTGATAAGGAAATACAGAAAAATTTAAAATTTTCAGTTTTAAAAATGATAATCCACCTACCTCTCACAACTATTTTGATTATTTGCCTGTTGCCTTTTATATGTACATATAATTTCACGTTGTTGCAATCTTTGTTTACACATTTTACATTCTCTTCATTCTTAAAAACATCTGTCTGATTTTATCCGGTATCCAAAACTAGTTTTAATGACTACATAATAATCTATTCTTTAAATGGACTACAATTTATTCAAAACATTCTTCATGTGTCAAACATTTATATTGTTCCCATTTCTTGTTTTCTACTATGAGAACAATGCCACAATGAACATCTTTGTGCACATTATGTATTGGTAATACCTTTTCAACCTTTTCCCCTTAGGGTAAAATCATAGGACTAAAACTAATGGATTAAAGTCATGTGTATCTTGATGGCTCATGTTAGATACAAAATTTATTAAAACAAGTTACATAGCACCAGCAATGAGTAAGTGTTCCAGCGATGAATAAGGTTCACTGCAAATTCACCAGCATTGAGCATCACCGTTAGATTTTTTTTATATAATTGAAATGACATTTCAAACTTAAATGTATTTTCTAAAGAAGGATCTCCAATTCTAAATATTTTTTTTTCAATTCAACTTTGCAACACTCACTAAAATTTTACACTGGTGAATGTGAATTTATGAAGTTATGAGATATCCATCACCTCATCCCATTTATCATAGTATAGATGGAGGCTGCATATATATTTGTTGGAGTTGGCCAGACAAGAATGGCAGGGAAAGGGCAACCCTCCTTCTGACTTCAGAAATTATGAGAAAAGAGACCCTGGAAGGAAGCAGTCACAGCTGTGTGTCCCTATCTCTCCCATCCAGGCTTTGACCAGAGTTAGGGGCTTTGGAGAGCTGTTTGATAAGCTAGGGGGCTCTCAAGAGGATATCTCTCTGCAAAGCACATCCTTACCCACATGGGGTGGCCAGAGCAGTGAGGCTGGTGGTCAGGCAGAAAAACACCTGGCTTGCAGTCTTGCGTGTCCCTTGGTTTGTATAGGACATGCGCATGGAGACAAGGAGGGGCATGTCTGCTGGGTGCCTGCCGGCTCAGAACAAAGAGTGGAGCTTGGGCCAGGAACTCAATGGCGGTGTGGTTCTCCATTCTACAGGGCTGAGTGAAGGCTCCATCACCTTGGAGAGGTCACTGTGCCTGGGAAGGACTGAGAATGAATGGATCCTGAGGTCATTACTACAAACACTGCAGCAGATGCCAGCACAAAGACTCAGGGTTGGGACTGGGTTGACCCCCACCTTAGCAGACACCGGTCACGTAAATCAAGAACCAATAGGAGATTAGAGTACCCTCTTCTCCCTCTGCCCATGCATCGAGTCATGCTGGCCCTTCCCCCATATCTCTACTGCCATCCTAGAAAGGACCAATGAGAGGAGACAAGGAACCGAAATTATAAGCTGATTAACAGAGGATGAGTAAAACCTAAAGTTATCATTCATATGAATGAAAGGATAAGACTAAATTTAAACCACTTAGGACTAAAATTTTTAGTCTACTAAAATTTTTAGTCTACTAAAATTTTTAGTATTCTACTGAATACTTTTTTCTTCTACCCAGCAGGTGGGAAGCTGGTAACAAGAGATTCAAACAGTTTTGGAAACTAAAGAAACTTCATTTACACTGCACAACTGAATTGTACTATGGGCAATTTTAGTGAATCAGCTAAAGGAGTATGATCTCAAATTATGTAAAATTTTGTATCCACGTATGCATAAATAGAGAAATGTTAATGGTAGTAAACTCATCATGGTGAGATCTGGGGTGATTTTTACTATTTTTTCCTTTTCTTTATGACTGATATTGTTCATTTACTATTACTATATCATTTTTCCAAACTGCAAGGACTGTGATTAGGAGTGCAGACAGGTAAAAACTCTATCTGCTTCTGTGTTTCTGATCTCACGTAACTAGGGATCAAAAACTTGACTTCTAACTCTACTTGTTTTCCAGTGCTTTTCAGTCTAGGCCCCTTCCCCCTCCTAAGATTCTATAATCTTACACTCATCATGTTGGATTTATGGAAATAACACATGAATTAAAGACGATCTTCAAGTTGAACAACACTTCAGTGAAATTCTTTTTTAAAGTTTGACTTGTTTTCAGATCAGTCTGTGAGAAAAGGAAAGAAAACATAAATAATTAATGATGAGTAGAGGCTCTTTCCACTCTTGCCTTAAATATTAAGGTTTAGAGAGATACTCTCATGACTGAAAATGCCTAACAGACCAAATGATGGGTATGTTTTCTCAGCTGCTGTGTATTATGCCATTGGGAATAAAAAAAGCTGATAAGATCATTTAAGTCAGTTGCTACTCAATTCCATTTTTAACCTCAAAAGCCTGAATGTGTCACTGATCAGTAGATGATGGACCAGGCCAGAGCTATGAAAATAGATCAAGTTCTATCCAAGAGCCTCTACTTTTTCCTGATTTCATGTGAAACCACTTCTCATTGCCTTTCTTTCACTTCTGCTTTCTACCAATTCACAGTTTTTTCTTTTTCTAGTTTAAAATATGATCTCATGTAGACTCTCTGATGGCACCCCACTCCAGTGTTCTTGCCTGGAAAATCCCATGGATGGAGGAAGCTGGTAGGCTACAGTCCATGGGGTCGCAAAGAGTTGGACACGACTGGGCGACTTTACTTTCTTTCTCTCTACAACCCTGCATGGCTATCATGATCCTTATTTTGGAGATGAGTAAACAAGGCTCAGAGTTAAGAGCTTGTCTGAGTCTTCTCACTGGCAAGCAGAATGGCCAGGAACAGCTCCTATGTCTCCCCTCTCTATAGTCATTTGGACTACACAGAACCCTGACAGGTGCTGACTTTAGGGTCCCAGTATTTTCTTAGGAAAGCAAAGACAATCCTTGCTATTGACTCCAATTACCGCATTTCTAGGGCCAGCCTTGAGAAACCTGCTGGCGTACGTTCATGACCTCACACTTGTGCTTTCACAGAAAAGAGAAGGTTAGCAGGACTCCTGAGGAAGCAGGGTAGGGATTAGCTGCCTTTCATGGACTACTCCCTTGGTTCTTTTTCCTTCTTCTCCAGCCAAGTCTGTAATTCTAAGAAAAGCAGGCACTGACCCTAGGGATCCTGGTCTAAAAAATCCAAAATCTAAGAAGAAGTCCCATTGGTGCATGCTCAGAGCCTTTATGAGGGAGAAGCTCTAAGGGGTCTGTTGTAGGCACATGACTGGCTTATGTCAGCATTGTCAGGAACAGGAAAAGGGGTCGCTGCTTATAATCGTTACAACAGTTCATAACTACTATAATAACTAATTATAATAATTATTGTAAGTTAAAAATCACTGTACTTGAATCCAGTGATGACAGAATTAAGCATAGATACTGGAGATCTAACCTGAACTTTTGAAATTGCTTACTGAAGGATTTTAGACTCATTATTAAATTTCTTTAAGGTTCAATTTCCCCATTACTGTATTTTTAAATTTTGCATTTTATGTTATGGAGCCATGGAGGTGGGTAATTATTTCTAGAACAATCATCATTATTATTAGCATTTGGTTTTTAAATGGATGATTTTGAAGGTCATATATAAACTATAAAACATAAAATACAAAATTTAAAAATACAGTGATAATATAATAAGATTATTGTTATCATTACCCAACCTATCTCTTCCTGTTTTGTATTTCTTCCTCCAATACTTTCAGGATCAACATCTCCACTCTTCACTACCATCCACAATGTTTGTTTCTTTTCCCATGGTGGATCATGCTGACTCTCAAAGCATTGCATCTTTCACTCCTAACATTTCCCCCCGTCCCATGGCATATCTGATACACCTTTAGAAATATATGCTGAAGAATGTACAGGCTATTTATTCCATGTGGTTTTAGTGGGCAAGTGAATAAACTGACTGGTGTGGGTCACAAGGAGTGATCATAGTTAACTGCGGGATTACTTCTGCCTTCTTCTATCACAGGGACAAGGAAAATGGTGACCTCAGTTGATGGGATTGAAACCATGGGTGAAGTTGCTGGGACCACACCCTACGACTATGAGGGGGCACTGCCATGCGAGAAAAGCAATGTCAAGGAGCTGGGGGCCCAGTTCCTGCCCCCACTGTATTCCCTGGTGTTCATGATTGGCTTGCTGGGCAATGTAGTGGTGGTGGTGATCCTCACAAAATACAAGAGGCTCCGTATTATGACCAACATCTACCTGCTCAACTTGGCCATTTCTGATGTGCTCTTCCTATTCACGCTGCCATTCTGGATTCACTATGTTAGGTGGAACGAGTGGGCTTTTGGCCACTCCATGTGTAAGTTGCTCTCTGGACTCTATTACATGGGATTGTACAGTGAGATCTTCTTCATCATCCTCTTGACCATAGACCGGTATCTGGCCATCGTCCACGCTGTATTTGCCCTTCGAGCCCGTACAGTCACTTTTGGCATCGTCACTAGCATCTTCACCTGGGGCCTGGCAGTGCTAGCAGCCCTCCCTGAATTTTTCTTTCATGAGTCCCAAGAGGAGGCTGGACAGACTATCTGCAGTCCTCTTTACCCAGAGGATAATGAAAATGCCTGGAAGCGTTTCCATGCTCTGAGAATGAATATCCTGGGTCTCGCTCTGCCTCTGCTCGTTATGGCCATCTGCTATTCAGGAATTATTAAAACACTGCTGAGATGCCCCAGTAAAAAAAAATACAAAGCCATTCGGCTCATTTTTGTCATTATGGTGGTCTTCTTTATTTTTTGGACACCCTACAATCTAGTTGTCCTACTCTCTGCTTTTCAAATGCACTTGGAGGCCGACTGTGAACAGAGCAGACAGCTGGACCTGGCCATGCTGGTGACAGAGGTGATTGCCTACACGCACTGCTGTGTCAACCCCGTGATCTACGCCTTCGTTGGTGAGAGGTTCCAGAAGCACCTCCGCCACTTCTTCTACAGGCACGTGGCCACCTACCTGGGCAAATTCATGCCGTTTCTTCCCAGCGAGAATCTGGAAAGAGCCAGCTCTGTCTCCCCATCAACAGGGGAGCAGGAACTCTCTGCTGTATTCTAGGTCAGAGGCAGAACACTGCCTACAGAAGATGCACAGACCAGATGAAGCCAACATATTGACCTCTTCATCAGTCCTTTGAACTTCCAGCACAATGGCTGAAGCTCTTGAAGCCATAAAATATACACACAATGGTGATGGTATATCTATGCACCCCAAAGTCATTACCAAAGGTCAACGCCTGGGCAATGACTTATTATGAACCCTGAAAAGCAGAGCTTTGCTTGATTCACTCGAGTCACGTAAATTTTAATGCACCTGAATGTTAGATGGTTACTATATGCAGCTACAAACTAGTCAAGCTTTTTATATCTTAAACCTTAATTTCAGCCAGTTATGGATATAAATGAAACATAATAAACATAAATGAAATATTAATAAATCAATTACATTTCTTCTTATTACAATGTAATAAATCAGTTTATTGCAAGGACTGATGCTGAAGCTGAAACACCAATACTTTGGCCACCTGATGCGAAGAGCCAACTCACTGGAAAAGGCTCTGACACTGGGAAAGATTGAAGGCAGGGGGGAGAACAGAAGAGCAATTTGGCATTTTCAGTACAGAGAATAACCCACTCCAGTCTTCTTGCCTGGAGAATCCCACGGACGGAGGAGCCTGGTGGGCTGCAGTCCACGGGGTCGTGAAGAGTCAGACACACTGAGTGACCTGACTTTCATTCTTCACTTTCATGCACTGGAGAAGGAAATGGCAACCCACTCCAGTGTTCTTGCCTGGAGAATCCCAGGGACGGGGTAGCCTGGTGGGCTGCCATCTATGGGGTCACACAGAGTCAGACACGACTGAAGTGACTTAGCAGCAGCAGTACAGAGAATAAAGGTCCTGCTCATAGAAACTTCTCAGAGCCCTGAGATGTGTGGACACTGTCTTATTTTACACCACTCTCACTGTTTATCCAGTAAGTGTGTGTTAGGTGATACAGGCAGGATGCACAAACATTGTCTTAGGTTAAGTGAAGGATGCCAAACTGTGTTAGACAAACACGATCCTTGCCCCCATGAAACTTTCCCCATAGTAGAGGATGTAAGACAGAAACAAATAACTCCAGTGCAAAGAGGAACACACTCAATGCTACACCTGGGTCAGGAAGAAAGGCCATTTCCACTGGAATCTGAGGGAGGAAGACTTAATGGAAGAAGTGGCTTTTGAGCAGGTCTCTGAAGGAGCAGCAGGATGAAAGGGGAGGTTTGAGGGGAAGGCACTGTAAGCCAGTGAGGAGAGGGGAAGGCACGAACGTGGGTGGATGGCAGAGTGAGGTGGGGACGCTGGGATGGGGATGATTTTCAGGCAGAGCACCTTAGGCTTTATTGGGAAGGCATGGGAGCAAGGCAATCAAAATGGTGTCAAGAAGATAATTCTGGTATCACATGGAGGATGGAGCAGAGGCCCCAGAACTGTGCAGGGAGCTAAGTTAGGAGACAAGTGCAAGTGTGGAGGCAAGGAAAGATCAACAACTGATCAAGAGAGGTGCCAAGAGCACCCTGAGGAGAATCTGGTCAAGAGAGAGTGTGAAGGAAGAGTTAAAACACTAAGAGCAGTATATGGCTGATGCAGAAAAAAAGGGGGGGTGCAAAACAGAATGTTAAAAAAAGAAAAAGAGACACACACATTTTTCATTGTGCTTAGATGCACTGACCATCCTCTTAAAAGGATATAAAAGAAAAGAGGAACAATGGTTGTCTTTAGGGAGAGGCACGTGTAGAGAAGAGAAGAAGGATATTTCTCTGAACACTCTTCTGCATCTTTTGGACTCTGAAACATGGGAACGTGTTTTTTAAAAAAAAAATAAACATTTTAGAACTATATTTTAAAAATGAAAGACTAGGCTACTATTCACATGTGGTATCCATTCTACTAGCCATAAAGAGATTAGACGTCCTCTGCCATGAATGAATCTTGTGACCTGGTTAGATTATTTCTAAGATCCTTTATAGCCAAAGCAAACTGATCTTGATGAAGTTTTAGGAAGTAGATGTTCAAAGTCTACAAAATACATTGTTGTTGTTGTTTTAAAAGGAGGTTGTGACGCAGCGAACAATTCTACAGCATCACCTCCTACTGGCCATGACACCAAGTGCAGTTCCTGTGCTCACTAAGGTATACTCAGGTTTCATGTGTACAGTCATTCATCTGGTCACTTATCCATTCATTCAATAAACATTTGCTGAGCACATGTCATGTTTTTAACTAGGCCCCTCAGGAAGCTACTGTCAGACTGAATTAGACACTGCTTTGCCCTATGCTATCAATGTTCAAAATCATGTCTTAAAAACTGCCAATGCCTAAATTCAATCCAAATGACAGAGACTTCCACTGTAAGACCAGTTCAGTTCAGTTCAGTTGCTCAGTCATGTCCAACTCTTTGTGATCTCATGGACTGCAGCACACCAGGCTTCCCTGTCCATCACCAACTCCCAGAGCTAGTTCAAATTCGTGTCCATTGAGTTGGTGATGCCACCCAACCATTTCATCCTCTGTCAGCCCTTTCTCCTGCCTTCAAGACCAGAAAACACTCCAACTCCAGAATATTTCACATTCTAGTCAAATGCTTGGAGAAATGATGTACGTGCTCTTATCCATCCATGCAATCCAGCCTCAACTGCTGGTGAGTGGCCTTGAGGTTTCTTATCTTCATGTGACCATGTCTAAAAGGTCTTACCTCAGTCCAACCCTAAATGGACAGCACAGGCTATGAACTTTGGAACACTAAACCGCACAACATGAATCTCAATTCGGCTAGGAAACTTTGAAGTTACTTTTTCTCTTTTTTGTGGTTCAGCCAAAATGTAAATGAAGCAATCATTTACAAACTATACACCTCTGATTCTCTCTTGCACTGTGAAGTATCTGCCCTTAGATAACCGCAAGTGCAGGATCTATAGGTGCTGGTTCATACTCCCTTGATCCTGAAAGCTTTCAGTTCTGTGACCCATACAAAGCCGCACAAAACCAAATCACAGATTCAGTGTGCTCCACCCTGCTCCCCATCCCCATGCTATCCAATGGAACCAACTGCAATGATAGAAAAGTTCTACATCTGTGTTGTCCAATGTAATCACTACCGATCACATGAAGTTATTGAGCACCTGAAATGTGGCTAGTGAGACTGAGGAAGTGAAGTTTTCATTTTCATTCCACTTTAATTGAAATAGCCAACATGCGGCTAGTGGCTACTTCATGTGGTTAGTGGTGTAGCACTAGCCCCTTCAAACTTGCCTCTTCATCTCTGCTCTGCCTGTACATCAAGCCTCCTGTAGTCAGCAATCACATCTTGAACACTGTGTGACAGGCTAGGGAAAATGCCAGTGATGCAAAGATGAATAAGATTCATTTCTGGAAAACTCACCATTCCATGGAACAGACTCAAGTGACTATAATGAAATGTGACAGGTGCCCAAAAGCCCCTGCAGCAGAGACAGAATGAAATCACTGAAGAAATGTACACAGAGAAAATGATATTCTGATTAGGCTGGGTTCCCCCCAAAGCAATTCCTGAGCAGAAAGTGGAGAACAAAGAGTTTACTTGAAAAGAAACTCCAGGAGTGGGTGGGGAAGTTCAACAGGAGAGGAAGATGCCCCAAAAGAGTACATTACAAAGTACCTTTCACTGAGGGGTAACTGGAGCTCAAAACTACTAGAAAACTGTTGAGAAACAGTGTAACTCACAGTCCTGCATTATCCCATGTGAGGGGGAAGAAAGTTGGGGTATTAACATTCTACTCCCATTGGTCATTGGCTGATTGGCACTAATTTTCCAGGACTTCCAGCCTGCCTGGCTCTCAGAGCCCTTGCAGCTTTGGGAAAAGCTCCCCGGCAACAAGATGCAGATATGGATGCTGGAAGCCAGCTGGGCACACTCAAGTTAAGGCTTGAGGGATAAAGTGTTTGCTACATATTTAAACGACTTTTCACGAACCAAAGGGGGGAAGCAAGAGCAATATCCAGGCAGGTAGGTCAATATGATGGCAGCCACAACGACATAAAAGTGCTCTAGAGAGAGTCTACTGTGGTGAAGACTAGGGTGACCTTGACAATGGCAGGTGACCTTGACAATGGCAGGTGACCTTGAACACACCTCAGTGTTGACTTTCCTGACGCTCCTCTTTTTTTGCTGAGCATCATATCCTGCTGGTTTAAAAAATATGATCCTTTTCCAGCTTGAGTTTTTGAAGCTTTCTTCAAATTCCAGAGTCAAATTTCTAATCTTCACACCTTCTGAACAAAGCAGGTTTATGTCCTTCGTAGTCTGTGGGCTTTCAATCACTGAGGTTTTCGCCCCTTTCTGCCCAGATAAATCCCCAGTTTAGTTAAGGTCGCCATTTCTCTTCTCAATTCACTGATCCAATCCAGGAGTCGGTGAACTGTGACCTAGGGGCCAAACACAGCTCACTGCCTGCTCCGTGAGTAGAGCTGGAGCAGAGCCATGCCCGTTTGTTTATGAACTGTCTATGGCTGCTGCTGCGCTACCATAATAGAGCTGAGTGACCGTGACAGAGGCCGTACAGTCCACAGATCCTAAACCATTTACTTTTTTGTCTCTACAGAAGAAGTTTCCTGAACCTGGATAATTCATGTCCCACAGGATCTGGGGCTCTGATATGCATAGCCAAGATAAGACAGACTAGATTTGGGGCAGGGCAGGGGGGTTACTCAGCATGTGAGGTTTGTAGACAAGCTGCTGAGATCCCCAGGTTAGTTCCAGCTTGACCATGGATGCAGCTCTAAACAGTCAAAATAGGGTTAGATTGTATAGTATTCAAATGCTGGTCACTAATACAAAAATGCTAACAGTCTATACCAAGACAGCACACTGAAGCTTTCAACTGGGGCAGCCGGACCCCACAGATGCGGTACTCTAAAGCAGGCTATATGCAGAATTGACATAGGAATTGTTAAAACCTATTTCACAACTCTTGAGACACCTCACCTCTACTGGGGACAAGGAAATTGAATTGATTAAAATTAGGGAGACACTTAAAAAGAAACTCTCTGTTGAGGTCTGCTGGTACCACCTCTCTATCAGGGATGGGGAGGAAGGAATGCATGGTGGGTGCTCTCTCTCACCTCAAGCTTGTTAACAGCTATGCCAATGGGGCCACACAAAGAGACTGATACAAGTCACTCAGGTTAAAGAAGATCTGACTCTCATTCAGGAAATGGGGAGACCAGAGACAGGCCAGTCTTATGCTCTGGGGCTGGAGTAGAGGAAAACTGCCACTACTTTGGGACAGATCTATGCTTTCAGAGTTGATCCTGGCAAAGAACATGGGATTGTTTTCCACAGACCAAATGAGAAAGAGCTGACTGGGGGATTTCTAATCTTGCCCAAGAAGACTGCCTGGATGGAG